AATAAATTATAAGAAAATACAAACTTTAAAGAGCTATACTACAAAATTTTATTAATATAACTACTTTTGTGTCTTAAATAAAAATTGATCTTAACCTCATTATAAATTGATTTATACAAAAAATATCTTTTAAAAAATTGTTAATTTTGTCTCTTTTCTCAGTACCTAGCCTATATATAAATATTTAAAATAACAAATTTAAATATTCAAACTTTGAACAGAATAGCTAACTTAATTTAGATTAGTCTAAAAAGCTATTTTAAACTAGCTTAATTTGTATTATATAATATTTAAAATTTGTATTAATTTATTTTAATAACAATATTTAGTATAATTTATATATATTATAGAATCTTAAGACTTGAATTATAATGATTTTTATATTTTATATATAAATATTAAATATTTTTTGCTATTAGATACTGTATAAAAATATTTTGTTAAAATACAAAAAATTAATTTTATAGATATAATTTTAAGTTATTTTAATTTAAAATTTTTAAGATTTTCTGTAATAGCTAATAATAATTAAATAATTTTTAGTATTTTATTATTGTGAACAATATATATACTATATAACTAACAAAAAAAATAATTTCGAATAATATAACTCAATAATAGAGACAGATTCAATTTGGCAGTTTAAAGCTAAAGTTTAAAAAATTATACAAAAATGATTATATATTATAATTATTAAAGTAAACTCTATTAAATTGTTCTATAAGCAACTTAGGTTATTTTATTTTATTGTTAAAAACTAATTTTTACTTTTTATATTTTCTTTTAAAACTATAAAGCTTTATATGTATTTCTATAAAGCAAAATAGAAAACAAAAATTTAAGATACTTATCATTTCATTATTTTAATATTTTTTATCTTATTGTTATAATTACATAATATTACTATAACCATATATAAAAAAAATATTATTATTTTGACAGATATTAAGCCAAATCGAGTAAGCATTTTTTCTTAATAGATTTTTAGTATAATTATTTGATAAGACTTGACTTGTATAAACTTTTATTGTTTAAAATTTTGTTTGGTTCTAAAATATTATTTTATAGTAATTTTCTTGCATAATATTAATAGCAATTTTGCTCTAATACTATATATAATTATAATCATTATATAAAAATAATTATCTATTTAATTTTTATATATAGTATTACTATATATATTTAATATATATAGTATATTGACAACCTAAATATAATATATAATAAATAATTTGTAATATTTGTGACTCTATTTATTATATCAATACAACTAACCAGAATACTAAAACTATTTTAACCAAATTTTAAGATTGATAAGATAACAATCGAAATATAAAAAGACTTAGTCTAAGTTATTTAGTTTTAATTAGATTTTAGAGATAGTATTAGTTTCAAATAAATATTCTCTTATACTCTTAATAAGTATTTTACTTTTTTAATATTTTTGTTAATATTATAATTTTTTCTTTTCGTAAATACTGTAACTAGGTCTTGTGATTAATTAAAATATAGTACAAGATCACAATATCACAGAATCACAAATTAGATATAATGATATTAATCACAAATTTAATCAGAATCAATTTTAATAAGGATTGTATTACTAATAAGATTTTTTCTTTTACTAAATATGTAATACAATATACAATAGTTATAAAAACAAGAAAATATAATATTAATTAATAATTTTATATAAAAGAATATAATGGATTAAATACAAATACTTTTACTTTTATTTTAAAAATATTAGAATTTTATGAATTTTTGAACTTCACAAAAGTTAATCTTTATTTAACTAAAAAAGGTTAGTCTTTTATATCTTTTACATACTTATAAAATATATAATAACTAAATTTATTATATTATTTATAATTAATATATCTATATTTATTATATTATTTATGTATACTATATATATTACATATACTATATTGACTATATTAAATATGTTAACCATAATAAATATTCTTTCTATCTAAAATAATAATCTCTTTACACTTACTATTTTTGAAAGATTACTAAACAAGCATAACTAGATTTTTCTAACAATTTATAGCAATAAAAAACTAAAAATAAAAAAAAAATAATATATATAGTATTTTATTTCTAATTTATTAAAATTGGTATTTTTTTTTATATCTTTCAAAGTTTTTTATTTTTTCAAAAGAAACTTAAAATACTAAAAAAATTTATTTTTGTATACCAATATTGTTTTCTATCCAACTTTTAAGCAAAGCGATGCATGAGCAGTGTTAGGTTTAAGACAATTACGAAGTTTAGAAATTGTTCCCGAAGCTATTAAAAATGCTTTCTCACAATGAACACTTGTTGCTTGGATTGCAAGATAATCTTGTGCTATCTTTGCAAGTATTGGATAATTATATCTATTAGCGGCCTACCATTGAAGAGAAGCATTTTTAATAGATGGTGATATAGGTAGTATAGACAAATATACATCTAACTCTTCTGCTAGTGGTGTAATAGTTTGTTGTGAAATTAATGATATAAACTATTTTCATTTATTATCAATTGCTGATATAGAAGATAAAGCTGGTAGTTCATATTGATTCATCATATTTCATAAACTAATAAGAGCAATATTTTTTTTATTAGAATGTAAAAATGTGATTAGTTTAGAAGTAGGATCAAAGATTGAAGCTATATTTGTCGATTTATCAGAGTTAAAAATAGCACAATAATTGTCTAATTTATTTTTAATTAAATATGCCATTGTGTGTTTATCTTCTGAATATGATTAATTAGCTATATATAGCTCTATATGATGAATAATTTCAAGAAAAGTTAAATGAACATCGGCAATAGTTGGAAATGAACTTATTGAAAGAATTTCTGTTGCTTAAAGCATTGGTTCTAGCAAAAAAATTTATATTATTAATACTTTGCTACTCCTCTTCATCAGAATAATTATTATCAAGTTTAGGATATACAGTTTTAAGAAGATTAAGTTCATTGCGCAGATTTTTGAATCGATATAATATATGGTAAGTGCTATTCCAGCATGTTATCACATCGATATTTAATGTATTATAGCTTTTTCTAGTTATATTGCAAAATCTCAAAGCCTATCATATAAAATTGTTGAATCTCGAATACGATTAATAAACTTTCAAACTTTGACAATTACTGCAGCCCGAAATTCTATACAATTTTTTACTGCAATATTTAGAATATGAGCAGCACAATGATGATGACGAAATCCAAAAGTATTCCATTCTTCTTCAATAATTTTTCTACATAAAACCATTGCGGATGCATTGTCTGTTGTTAATGAATTATCTTATCAACAATATTTATTTCTTCACAGATTTTATTGAGCTTTTCTTTTATATTTAATGCACTATGACTATATTTAAAATGGATAATATCAAGTAAAAAATGATATATCTTCTATCTATTATTTATATAATGTATAGTAATTCCCAGATATGCTTGGTTTGAACTTGATGTCCAAATATCAATAGTAAGTGCAACTTTGGTTGTAAGTTCTTTAAGTTCTTTTGCAACATATACATGATGAGTTTTAAACTGAGATATTGTTATATTTTTTATATATTTAACTGATTATAGATATTTACTGCTTTACAAAACCAATGATTTTTAATAAATGAAAATAGAAGTTGTGTACCAATTATAAGATCAACAGTAGCATTAAGGTATTTTTGTTTATGTTTAATATCATTTTTTCCATATAGTTCTTGAGAGAGATGTAAGCAATTTGTTTTTAAACTAAGTATAATATTATGTTTATTTCTAAGATGTGTATTTAGAACACCAGTAGAAGTTGTAATGCTATATTCTGCTCCACATCCATTAACTCTACAAATTCTTGCAATAACTTTATCTCCTTCCATTAGTTTATCTATATAGTCCCATATAGATGATATTCTTTTTTTTTTACTACGAATTGCTGTTGGGCTATATAAAGATGATATTTTAATAATAATATTTGCTTCTATATTTATAAATTCTGCAGCTTCTATATTACTAATGTTTCCTATAGTATCTGTATTTTCTGTAGCACTTGTATTTTCTATATCATCAGCTTCTGCATTACTTGTATCTTCTATATTATCTGTGTCTTTCATATTTACAAATTCTATATCTTTCATTGCTATTAAAAAGATCAAATTTTTCTTTTAAAAATTAAACTAAAGTATAATTTAATTTTTTTGTTTTTTTTTTTAATTTAGATGTTTATTTATTTTTTTTTAATTTTGTTTAATAAGAACCTTATATATTAAATATTTGTTATTTAAGATATTGTCAATTAGAGATTGGGTAATCTGATTTGTACTAAACTTTTGTTAGATAATTAATTAATAAATACAGTAAACTTTTTAATAATTATCATAGCAAAACTTGAAATTAAAGACCTCAATTTAAAAAAATATAAACCTTACCAAAATCTACTTATATATATATTTTATCAAAACTAATACTAAATCATAAGCTAACTATAGTCCTATATATTGACGATAGTCACGCTAGGGCTATTATCGTGAAGATCACCCAGATTTGGGCTTTGTGTAATGTGAATTAGTAATACTTGCATGTGGATGTAGTTTAGAAAGTGCTAGTGC